CTGTAATGAAATGCTTCTTCTAAGAAAATTTTGTTTTAATCATCTTTATATCCTTTTCCCCATCAGCACCCTCCCATAGCCCCCCACTGGATTTCATGCATTTTGTCATTTATGTTAGGGCCTATCAAGTCAAGTTAGGATCCCCTGATGTCCTTCAGTGCACGTTATCCCACCGGGGTCTTAGGCAGCCTATCTAGAGTCCCTCCCTTTAAGAAGATCAGCTCTTCCTCAGAATTTTTTTTTTTTCCTGGTTTGTTCTTTATCCCATATACAGTGAACCACCAAAGGATGTATATCATAGGCTTTAGTCAAGGATTCAGATGAGGCCCCTAACAGGGAATAATAGCTGTGTCTGTTGATGTTGCTTATTTGCCTTGGTGGTGTGAGTTGTGACATCCCTGTTTCACGCCACCCTAACCTTTGCTGGTGAGATAGGTGGTGAAGTGCCTTTCTTTACTGGAATGTAGTCCCTCTTGGTGAGAGGAAGGACTTGTTGCTTGCCCTGAGGTCATGTTCAAAACTGGATTATTTCCTGACTTCTGTCAGTTTTGCTTTGTTGAGTACATTTATCTCATCATTTCCTCAAAAAAGAGAGAGAGAGAAAGAAAGAGAGAAAAAGAAAAGAGGGAAAAAAAGGCAGACTTGCCCTTCTTTTTCTTTGCTTAGGCCGGCTACATCCTTAAGTGTGTGGTATAAGTTCTCTGAAATTCCTTTCCCCCAAATCTCATTTGGCTCCCACATTTTAGCAGATTCCTTTGTAACTGCCTTTTCCTCCTGGGAAACCTCTTCTTCTTAACTCCTCTTTCAGTTGTTTTTTCCAGAGGACAAAGAAAAGGAAAGTCAATTTCAGACTTTCCAAGTTGGAAAGTTGAAAAACTGACAGGGTAGTCAGTAAAGTTTTGTGTTTTCTCCTACAACCCCGTCCGTCCCCCAGCACCTCAGAGGGAAGAGCCCTGTGAGGTCTGGAAGAGAATCCTGACAGTCTATGAATTCTGGCACATTTAAGGAAGGCCTGGGAGAAGACATTTAGCTTATTCCTTGCATGTTATGTGTTTACTCTTGAGCAGCTAAAAATGCAGGGCACTGAAGGGTAGAGTAAAAGTTTCCTTGAGAGCAATGGAAAGTTCTCCCTTGTGAAGAGAGCTGGCACTCGTTGTGGGAGCTGGCACACAGGAGACTGCACCTTTTAGCCCCTAAAGCCAGAGACCATGCCTTGGGTTCTTTGACACTTCATGAGAGAGAGCAACGGTTGAAAGGGTTCATCACCAAGCAGAGGAATAGAGGAAATGGTTCAGTAAACTGACTTTGCTGGGAGTTAGGCATTAACGGAAGAAAACATTAACTTCATATTTTAGAATGCTGTTGTTTTAAGCCAAACTCTAACTTCCAAAAATATGCTGTTTGTAAGAGAAAATATTCAGTGTTTTTATATTGTTATAATAAAGTGCAGTTTTAATGGAAAATGTAATTAAATTGCTCTTGTGCTATTACTGATCTCTCTGTATTATTCATATCTAAATTACACACCATCTTCCCCCAGAAGGAATTACTGAACTATAATAATGTGGCTTGAGGCAGACTTCAAAAACAAAGCATGCTTGCTGTAATTTCCACATCATCTGTGCATGGTACACAGTGACAACACAATGGCATGGTCTCTCAGTGTTACTTCTGGGCAGCTGCTGCCTGCTAACTAACCAACCAACTAACCAACCAACCAACCAACCAACCAACCAACCAACCAATCAACCAGATTGCTGCCCTGAGAAGAAACCTATGCACTTCCTGAAGAAAGAGGACAAGGGGATGACCCTACAAATGTAAAGTGGGAGGTTGCCAGAGTCTTACAAAATGTCATAGGCTTTAATTCTTTCCTTCCTCAGGAAAGAATGGTTCTTATAGCCATTCCTTTCTGCTTTAGGAAACTTTCTACTCTAGTGTGTTTTTCCTGGGTGAAAGTCATCAGTAGCAAACACATAGGGATTTGAGTATTGCTATGGCAGAATTTGAAGACTAGGAGAAGGGTTCCTACCTTTCAGTATTCTGCATGTCTGTATAGATTTCTGCCTTAGTTTTTACTCATTCCTACTTGAACAGTTAAAATCTTAGGATAAAGATAATTGAGGAATTTTGTTCTTTAGACATGTATTGTTCTACCCATGTATGCATAGTTAACTTGCTTACTCGTGTAGTTCCAGGAAGATCTTGTGTCTTCACTGAATGCCTCCGCTGTGAAAGCAAGCCCCAGCTTTGACTATACCCTCCCGATGCTGAGTCTCATGAAAGAAAGCTCACCAGAGAGTTCCCGCTGTTTTCACGGGTTATCTAATCTATAAGGAGTCCATCCAAGCCTACTTTTGTTTCCTGTCCTCAAGCTCCTTGCTAACAAGACACTTTCCATCAACACAGAAGAAAGGAATGCCAGCACCTTTCCTTAGGATCAGAGCCTTAGCAATGTGAAACTAGAAAATTTGAGAATTGCTGGATGATTTCAGATTGAGAAGCAGACTCAGGTGTATTTGTTATTAAGCCAGAACTTTCGTGCTGAACGCACTGTATTCTGAGGAGTTCATCAGATTTGATTTGGAACACTTTACCACTTTCTCTAACTGTAACCTTGGAGAAGTTACATAATCTTTGAGCTGAGTGTCTACATCTGATTAAGTTGTGGTGAGTAGCTGGTTGTGGTGCACGCCTTTAATCCCAGCACTTGGGAGCCAGAGGCAGGCGGATCTCTGTGAGTTTAAGACCAGCCTGGTCTAGTAGTGAGTTCCAGGCCAGCTAGCTGGGGCTACAGGGAGACCCTGTCTCAAAAACAAAAAAAAGTTACAGTGTCTATGACCTTTTCAATGCCCATCCATTCTTAGGGAGATTGAATGTAAGGGTATTTCAGAGGTGACATCATTTATTGCAAGCAAAATAATTTTATATTTATCATTGAGGATGCAGGAAGACCTTTTTAGGTACGTGTCTTTACTACCTCATATATTGTCTTTAAGAAGCAGATATTCCTTATCTCAAATGGCAGAATAGAGTATTCTCTTTTTGAATTGCATTCCTATTTTGACCCTGCTTTCTGAAATTACTTAGTGGGGAAATTAAACATTCATGGAGGTGTGGCATGTTGTTGGAAGGTGGCATTCTCACGGGTCCCTCGGTAAGTGATGGTAGTTTATCTTTCAGCGTATACAACTGTCTCTGAGGGACACGGTGCTCTTCAGGTGTCTCCTGTTGTAGAGAGAAAGTCATAGTGTAATAAAACCAGTTAACATGTTTCAGAATTGCATATTGGGAAGAAGAAAGGTTTCTTTTGAAAGCTCTCCTTTGAGGTACAGAATGGTAAGGGTGCCTGCTTATAGAGCCAGCCATTCAACTTGGTAATTCAGGAGACTGTGGATTCTGAATAACTTGATTCTTCTTTAAATGACTTATGGGCAGGGAAAATGCAACAGTTTCTATATCCAATCAGTAACTTTATTTCTGTGAATAGATCTCTTTTTGTTTATAACATCAGTGGCCCTGCACACACGGTTTTAAGAGGAACAGCTCTGCCTCAACTTCAGATACAGGGTGCTGCTTAGACTCTAATTATCTGTGACCAGAGGGAAGCAAAGCAGGCTTGCATGGGAACTGGAAGGCCAAGTGAAGTGATAACGTTTGTGGCTTGGTCTAGCTCCTATCATGCAAGTTAGGGCGTCGTTGTCTATAGATATTTTTGTACCTGTAGAAAAGCAGGCCGATTCCCTTCACCTCTTTCCTGTCTTTCTCCTTCTCCTCATGTTAGCCTCAGTAATGCCTTCTTCCTGGGTATTAGAAAGGCCACTTCCCTTCTATGTCTGCTCTAAACAGCTTCTCTGCCCTGCAGTCTCTGGAGACCTTGCCATGTTGGCCTCAGACTAACAATCCACTAGGAAAGGTGCCTCCACCAATATGGCAGATCTACCTGAAATAGCATCAGCTTGCAGCAGTTGCTCCTTGCTTTTCTCTCCTGAAAGCATTTGATTTTGGTCCAGGTACAGATTCTCCCACTCTTAGACACATCCCTGGATCATAATGATTCCTTAGTATCCTTCCCTCTAGGCAGGACCAATGTATAGTGTTCAAAGTCAGCGTGCCAGTGACCTCTTAGGAGAGTGGTGGTTACTTCAGAACTTTTATTAGCTACTCAAGATTTCTGCTTTTTATGTATGCATGTATATCAGTAGTAAAAATGCTCATTAATTAAAAAATTTTCTTTATTTTGAGACTGGGTCTTTATAGGTCAGTTGATCTTGAACACCCTTTGCTGGCCTCAAACTCACAGTCCTCCTATCTCAGTTTTCTAAGTGCTGGATTATAAATAGGCATTAAAAGTTCCTTTTCTCCCTTCCTCTAGTATACTAATACATGCACGTATATTGTATTTAAGTATTCACAAATATATGTTGAAGGGTCATATTTTATTTAGTTGAGAAAATCTTTGATGGAAGGAAGCAAGCCGAAGCCTGTTGTGCAGTGGATCGAGGCCTGTGTGCACGTTCTCGGCTCTCACACACACCTCTGCATGCTTCCCACTTACTCCATTTAACTTGTTGGTACTATTGTAGTAAGAAGGAAACAAACCTATTGCTACCCCTGTTTATGCAGATTTGCAGTTCTTAACTTTTGAAAAATATGCTTGCCTATTATTTTCTACATAGTAAATTAACAGTTAATCTACACGGAAAGGGAATCATTCATGAAATACACAGTAGAGATATTCACAGTATGCCCTTAGAAGCACTTAGCGTGCACTGTCTTATTGGTACCCACACAAGCTTGTTCTGCTTGGCCTTGCCCAATGGCAGCTTACTCTGAATACCCGGGTAGCCAGAACTAAGCTGGGAAGGATGAAGGAGCATTTTTTTTCTCAATAGATAATAACAAGAAATGAATAGTAATTATCTTCGATTTTAGGGTTTTTTCTTTCCCATATTAGCAGTTTATTATATGAAGAATGTAATTTATTTATTTTCTCCTAGGCTGGAAGGAAGACCAATGAAGAAAAATAGCACCATGATTCAGGTAAATGAATATTTAATTCCTTTATGCTTAAGTGTCTACTTTCTATGTATTCCCAATAAGAAATTCTAAACAAACGATTGTGGCTAACTTGAATATGTTGGGGGCGGGGCGACAGTTGAAAGTCAAACACACATGTATGCCATTTAATTAGTTTAGTTATTGATCAAATCACATATTTAACACAAATATATACAAATAAAGTGTTATGAGTAATATTTTTTCTTACTCCAGAACAGTTTTTGTGTTTACTTACACACACATAGACACATACACACACACACACACACACACACACACACACACACACATACATACATGTATTTATGACATCACCATCTTTATTGTGAGTCACATTTTGGAGCATCTACTATACTTTCAATAGCAGATCATCATATTGGATGTTTGCCATCCAGCCCTTGGACATTTTTATGTGGTGCTGGTGTTAGAAATTGATTCCAAACTCTTAAGTATCTGTGTGCATGATGTTAGGACAGTTACTGTCTTTATTTATTTATTTATTTGTTTGTTTGTTTATTTGTTTGTTTATTTATTGGCAAGTAAACATTGAAGCTCTCCATGTAACAATTTGTATAGCAGCCTTGTGAACTTATTTTTTTGCTCTTTTTCTTCCTCTTTCTTCTCTGTGTTTTATTTATTTTGAAGTAAACACTGCATGTGTGTTGTTTAATAATTCAAGTAGTAGCCTTTCCCATGGCCCTTGTGACTGAAGATAGACCCTTTCAGCTCTTTTAGTTGTATCTGCTGGTACTCATGTGTATATCTATTTCTAAACAACATAGACTATAAGTTCCATTTTAATGATTTCTTTAAAAATGTTAGATTTAGCCTGGTATGGTGGCACACACCTTTAACCCCAGCACTCAGGAGGCAGAGGCAGACAGATCTCTGAGATCGAGGTCAGCCTAGTCTGTATAACAAGTTCTAAGCCAATGGGGGTATTTTTGTAATAAATAAATAAATAGGGACTGGAGAGATGGCTCTGTAGTCAATAGCACTGGATGCTCTTCCAGAGGACCTGGGTTTGGTTCCCAGCACCCACAAGGTGGCTAAGAACAGTCCGTAGGCCCTTAACTCCAGTTCCAGGGCATCTAATGCCCTCTTCTGGTCTCTGTGGGCATTGCAGGACATGGGTGCACTTACATAGATGCAGGTAAAACACTCATAAACATCAAATATAAAAATTAAAAAATAAAAGCTAGATTTATGTTCTGATTTCCTGCTGAGGATTTCTCTCTTATAGGCAGCCATTACTGTTAGTTCCCACTTAGGCTTCCAGTGTCTCCACTTTTCTCTTCTTCCTGCTTACCTTCTCCTTCACCTCTCCCTCTCCCACTCCTCTTCTTCCACTGCCCTCCCTTCTTCTCTCCTCTCAACCCTTCTCCATCTCTCCCCTTTCCCCTCTTTTCTTCTTTTTCTGGTGAGGAGGAGCAGGGGAATGCAAGTTTTATGTAGTCCAGGCTGGCCTCAAATTTAGGATCTTACCTCAGCCCCTGCAGTGTTAGGTGCGTGCTTCCATGCCTAGCTCTCCTTTTTCCTCGATGCAGCCATGTCATTAGACTGCATTTAAATGTTAACATTCACTTTGTTGTGATCATACTTTGCTTTGGCTGAGCTCTGTCATGTATGCTGGCATGTCCCAGGGCATTCTGCTTCCTAGTTGACTATATGAGGAAGATTTTATGTCTGTAGAAGACGATGAACATTTTTCTTCAAATCCCAAGAATTCTGAAATTTCATATCTCTCCCTCTCTCCCTTTTCTCCCCCTCCCTCCCCCAGCCCTCTTGCCCATCCCTTTCTTTCTCCTTCCCTCCCTCCCTCCGATGTTTTAGTTCTTAGATTGGAAAACCTAGTCTGGCAGTTTTCTTGTCCTCTTCCAACATCAGATGGTGGATCAAATCTTCCTTCTCCTGCATGATTCTGACCAACTCTTTTTTATTTCTAGGAACCCTATGATTATATTGAGCCTGTGTAGATAATCCAGGATAACCTGTATGTTTTCCCTCTGTTGTGATAAAATATAAGTCACATATCATTTACTCTCCTAATCATGTTTAGTATGAGATACAACAGGCTAATATGCACTGTGCTTTATAAAAGGTCTCTAGACCTTTGCATCTTGCAGCAGTGCGGCTGTACTCTTCTCCCTCTTCCCAGATCCTGGCAGGCCTCATCTGTCTTCCTGCTTAAGCCTTGCAAGTGGAACCTGCTGTCTGCTATGTCTGCTTGTGCCTGCCTTGTTTCATAATGACCTTAAAGTGTATCCATGTTGTAGCATAGGATGGAATTCTCTTCTTTTTAAGGACTGAATAGTATTCTGTTGAATATCCTACTGGGTTTTTCTTAATCGTTCCTTAGTTGACATTTAGGTGGCTTCCATTCTTTGCAATTGCTAAAAATCTCACAGTGAATGTGGGTGTGTAAAATCTCTCTTCAAAATCCTGATTTCATTTCTCTCTGATATACACCATAAGTGGGATTGTTGGATCATATGGCAGTTTTCTCTTTAAATTTTTGAGGCATTATCTGTTTTCCTTATTGGTTATACCATTTTACATATCTAAGAGTGTAATAAGGGTTACAGTTTCTCCATGTTTGCCAATACTTGGCTCTTGTCCGCTATTTTTGATTCTAATGTGTGAGGCCATAAGTGTCTCATACCAGGTTTTGATTTTGAACATCTGTTCATGTGCAGCTCACCATTTGTATGTCAGCCAGGGAAATGTCTGTGCAAATCCTTTGTGCATTTTGAAATGTGGGTTATTTGGTATTTTGTCATTGGGTGGTATGAATTCTTTATATATGGCTCTCCGTTCCTTTCAGATACATGATTTACAAGTACAATCTCCTGTTCTATAGGTTGTCATTGATTCTGTTGATTCCTCCCTCTGCTCTACAGAAGCTTTTAATTTGATTTTGTTCAGGTTATTCATTTTGCTTTGGTTGCCTGGGCTTTGGTGTCACATTCCAGAAAACCATCACCAACTTCACATGTCTTAAGCATTTGTTGCCTTTGTGTTTTCTTCTAGGAATTTCAGTTTCAGGTCTTTCTTTTAGATCTTGGATCCATTTGACATGGTTTTTATAAATTGCATAAAGGAAGAGCCTAAATTAACCTAGGCAGGCTTCTCTTTCAGTCAGTCTTCCTAGGGTCTCCCTGTCCTCATCCCAGAAGGAACCCTCTGCTGGCTGTGGTTGGCTTCTCAGACTATGTGGTCACTCTGCTGTCAGCTTCCAAAATGCCCTTGGTGTCTGTTACCTTCTGTGGAATGTGTCTGCCCCTTCTGTCATATGGATTCTCTTTCTCTCACGGTACCATCATCTTAATGGGGACTTATAACAGGCCATTTCTAATGGCCATTCACAATCCCAGAGTATTGTCTTTTAACATTATATTTAAGGCTTTTAAAAATTACCTCATATTTCCATTTCATAGCTCAACCTCCAGAACTAATCAAGACCATTTCTTTTCTGCTTCTGTTTTGCTTGTTTGTTTACTTATTTATCCTATAGTGCTGGGGCCTGCCTGAATTCCGGGTCTTGGACATGCCAGGCAAGTACTCTGCTACCCAGATATATCCCCAGCCTCTTTGCTTCCTTCTTGGTAACCAGTTTGACATGTGACTTGCCAGTGCTCAGAGCTAACACTAGCAAGTTTCCAAACAAGACTTCATTATTCAAGATAAACTGAGATTCTTGTCATCTGAAGCAATATGAGACTTGGCAAAGATTTGAATTGAAGTTTACATCCTATTTCCTTTTTATTTAGATAAACTCTTGGCTTAATCTTGGGGTTTATAAGCTATATGTTGCTCTTATTAAGGGGCAATTGTTTTATGTAATATGTAAATAATTGTTATATATAACTTCAGAGTTTTAATTGCATACCTTTACAGTGGAAGGCCCTAGGTATTTGGAATTTTGATTGTCTGTCATAACAGCTGTTTTATGTGACTATATTTGTTTACAGGTTGAACGTCGTTTCTTACAGATGGGATGAAAACAATTGCTTAACAGAATTAGGTTCTGCAGAACTGCCAAGAGTGTAGTTTCCTTTGTCCTATGAGTTGTTTATTTATAGAGTTAAGCCTATTAGTGGGCTGGGAGTGTAATTCAGTGGTGGAACACTTGCCTAGCATCTGTGAGACCCTGTCTTCAATCTCCAGCATCACAAAAGCAGGAAAAAAGTTAAGCCTGTTATGTTCGTATGCTCAAGATACTGGTTATTTCGGGTGTGGCTTCAAGGAACCTCTTGAAATTTGAGACTGAGGCTTAGAGCAGCCAAAGTTTTCTTTAGATACTTGAGGATATAAGTCTTATATGAACCTCAAAAGGATTGAGACTGTCTTATAGATTATAAAAGGGAAGGGAAGGAAGAGGGAAGGTGAGTGTTACTGATTAAATTAAACAGGAGCGAAATAAAATGCACTGCTTTTACTAGATTCCATATTCTTTCACATGTAAATCCATATTGTGGGTACCAGGTAGGATTTCTGCATTGTTATGCACATACCCATGTATGCCTCTATAAATTGACAAGCAGTCACATATGAGGGTAGCATTTTAGATTCAACAAGATGGCCAGCTCATTATGAGCATTCTTATAAAGAAGGTGCCTCTGTCTTCACTTTAGTTTGAAGCATCCTACTTAATTTATGATAATCAGTTATTTGTTGACAAGTAAGGATAGTTGATAAATACATAAAAGGAGAAATACCTCTTTGTAAAAGAGGGTTAAGGACTTAGTTTTTAATTTTAAAAACTAGAGTGTTATATCAGCTTTATGATAATAAAAATTAAAAGGTTAAGCCGGGCGTGGTAGTGCACGCCTGTAGTCCCAGCACTCAGGAGACAGAGGCAGGCGGATGTATGTGAGTTCAAGGCCAGCCTGGTCTACATAGTGAGTTCCAGGTCAGCTGGGGCTACAGGGAGACCCTGTCTCAAAAAGACCAAAAAAAAAAGAAAGAAAAGGTTAGAAAAA